AGTGTCTTCCCAATGGTAATTCCTTGGAAGAAATGAAAGGATTAAGGTTAAGACATATGTTTCAGACTTCTAAGAACTGCAAAGGAACATCAGAGTTACTGGAGAGAGAGTAGCTACGCACTGGAAGTTGGGTAACAGTAAGAAAGTATCTGAATTGTAAGCTGTCTTAGGAGCCCTACAATTTGATATTAAACTGGAGAAGTCAGAAGTGAGTAATTTGATGACAACTCTGTTTTGTTCAAGATGGATCTGTTGTTTTCTTTTGTGTGCCAGGAACTGATGCCAGTATTCCAGTCCACATTAACAACATTTGCCAGCGAAACTATGTCACAGTGGAGAGTGGTCGGAGACTAAAGCCTACAAACCTTGGCATTGTTCTGGTTCACGGTTATTACAAAATAGGTCAGTTAAATGCTCTTCCCTTTCCATCCTCTTGCCTTCTTTTCCTTTCACTATCTCAAGGGCTGTCGTCATTGTGTAAGTAGCATTTCTGTCTCAAAATGATGTCTCCAGGAAAGTATTATTAACCGAAGACTATAATAATTAAAACTTTTGTCTTTATTTTGATGACAGTTTCCTACCTCCATTTTTGACCTTGCATTGCTGCTGTCTCTGGTTTTCTGTTAGATGCAGAATTGGTTCTCCCTACGATCCGCAGTGCTGTAGAGAAGCAACTCAACTTAATAGCTCTGGGTAAAGCAAATTATCATCAGGTCCTGGAGCACACCCTTGACATTTTCAAAAGGAAATTTCACTATTTTGTGGATTCTATTGCAGGTAAAAATGTTTACATGCAGAGTTCCCTACAATTATTTAATTGTTGCGTAGAAAATATGTATTAGGTTCCTTTCAGAGTTTTAGGCTTTCTGAAAAGTCATACCAGGACTGGAAGTTTCAAAGTAAGTTGCCCTCCAAAGGGAAATGGACTGAATCCTGTCTCCAAAACTCTAATGCAAATTTATTTCGCTTCTGTGTAGTGGTGAGTTTTTGAAAACTTGAGACTAACTGAACCTAGTGTTTGTGCATGCTCAGTGCAAAACACTGTGTGTTTAAAATGTCTTCATAAACAAGGAAGGGCATTGTGAATAAAATAATTCTGACTTCTTGACAGGTCTTGTAGATGATTTTGTTCAGGTTTCCTCTTAAGAGCTAGAATTCTAACATAAATGTGATTATTTCTTTTGCAGGTATGGATGAACTGATGGAAGTTTCTTTTTCGCCCTTGGCTGCCACGGGAAAACCCCTTTCCCGCTGTGGTAAATGCCATCGTTTCATGAAGTATATTCAGGTAAATTTACTTCATACTTTGAATTTCACTTGCTGGCAGGGGGGGCATTGAGTAGAAACTCCTTTTCTATTACTGAATTTGGGTTAAAATGTTGTTCTCAAAGTGCATTTCTGAAACAAAATACCTAATGGAGTTTTTCCATGGGAAACAAGTTGGAAAGCAGCTCCAGCTGGATGCACTGCAAGTTGTAAACACTATTGACTCTGCAGTTGTTCAGGAGACTTGTGTTCTATTTCCAGGCCAAGCCGAGTCGCCTGCACTGCTCCCACTGTGATGACACCTACAGTCTCCCACAGAACGGTACCATTAAACTCTATAAAGAGCTGCGTTGTCCCCTAGATGACTTTGAGCTGGTGCTGTGGTCATCTGGATCCAGAGGAAAGAGCTATCCACTGTGTCCATATTGTTACAACCATCCTCCTTTCAGGGACATGAAAAAAGGTAGGAATTCTGTAAACATGCAGATATCACCCTCACTTTAAATAAATTAAGTACAGTCTCTGCAATTCGCTTTTTAGGAATTCTAAAACCAGTGTTGCTTCGTAGGGAAGTGCTGTTCAAATTAGATTCTAGATACCTAAAATTCACATCAAACTCACCAAAATTTACCAGTTAATTAATTTTTTACAATTTTTTCTTTATAAAAGAAGTAAGAAATTAATTTACCTACATGCACTGTAGGTGACCTTCAGAACACTCAGCATGCAGTGAAAGACACTGAGATTCTGACACCTTGAAATTGGAGTAGGCTTGGGTAGGACTTTAGATGAAGACCAGGTCTCAAGAAAGTTATGATACTGAGATAAATGGTGTGTCAAAAGCTGTTGAAGGATATAAGAAGAGGTAAAAGTTGCAGTTATTTCGGTAGCTGTGAGATGAAAAGTTACTTAAAGTAGTGCATTGAAGCTCTGAGTAACAGGAGCTTTTCGGCAATTTTTTTATTATCATTTTTTAATTAAAAATGTCTTGGACTAACAGTGAGTTGTTCAAATATAAAGTGGCTGTTAGCTAGGAGCCATGTGTTTAATGGAAAATGTAATTAGTTTTCACTGATTTCATCACTCGTGTCTAAACTGCCTGTATTGTACGGTGGCAGTATCTGGCAACTCTGAAAGCCTGGAGAAATTTTCGAAAAAGGTATTATTTTGAATGTGTGAAGAGGCAAGTTGCCATTTTGGGAGCAGTTTCATTCTTTAGTGATTTTGAAAACATACAGTATACTAAGTTTTTCTGTGTCTCACTTCCTCCAAACTGTGTAGTGTGAGTAGTGCAATGGGTTCCTTGTGGTATGGTTTTACTCTTTTCCTGCCAGGAATGGGCTGTAATGAATGCACCCACCCCACATGCCAGCATTCCCTTAGCATGCTTGGAATTGGGCAGTGCGTTGAGTGTGAGAATGGGGTCCTGGTGCTGGACTCAACGTCAGGGCCCAAGTGGAAGATGGCCTGCAACAAGTGCAACGTCATTGTGCACTTCTTCGAGAACGCCCACAAGGTGCGGGTGTCGCCGGAGACTTGCGACCTGTGTGAAGCCGCGCTCGTGGATGTGGATTTTAACAAAGCCAAATCTCCTCTACCTGGTGATGAGACCCAGCACTCTGGCTGTGTGTTCTGTGACCCTGTGTTCCAAGATCTGGTGGAGCTGAAACATGCAGCCATGAGACACCCCATGCACCGAGGGGGACAAGGGAAAAGGCAAGGGCGGGGAAGGGGCAAAGGCCGGAGGCCTGGAGGAAGAGTCAACCCAAAGAAACCCAAGGACAAAATGGCAGCTCTGGCTGCTTACTTTGTGTAATGGCCACACAGTACTAAATAAACTTCATACAAAAATTTGTTTCTCTTGGAGTTCATTTTTAAGTGTTTTTGATCTTCACTGCTTTCCTGTTCTTAGAACAGTTAAAACACCATAAGTGTTCTATGCCTTGATTTAATTCATAAAACAGATTTTTCTGGATGATCCATTAGTAACTGAGTAAACCTTTAAGCTTTTGATTGGGATTCATTGATACAAGGAGAGCTCTCAAACTATAGGGACACTCAAGGAGTCTACCTGGACTGTTACCTGTGGCTGATAGAAAAGAAATGAAATTTCTCTCTTTTGTCATTTCTGGGGCCTTTGTCAGCAATACAAGTGCCAGGAATAGAAGACCTGATTAAGATCAGCATTATGCTGCTGTAGTCTTTATGTGTGGCATGAGGCTTGCTTCATCTGACTTTGAGTCTTCAAAAATAATAAATGACTAGTAGTTGTCAGATTTTTAAATTACATCTGCAATAGCAAGAGCACGTCTTCAAATCTGTCCCTCTGCTTCATAAGTGAATAATGCCAAGAGACATACAAAATGGAAATTATAAACATGAAGGTGAATATCTGCCTTGAGCAGTGATTCCCAAATTACGAACTGTGCAGCCTGACATGGGATTCACTGGCGACAGAGAGGAAAGACAAGTCTCCACAAAGTAATGTACAGCTCTACTGTGTGTGCATTAACTGAACCAGAGAACACAGCCCAAACTCCACAGCCCCAAGCCTGTTCCTCTGATCAAATGTTTATGCAGTTACAACTCGAACTGTGTTTTAGTAGTGTTGCTTAAAAGATCAAGCCATAGGTAAAAGTTTTTTCAGTAGTGTTTTGGGGTTTTTTTTGGGTGGGTTTTTTTGTTTTTTTCTGTTAAAAACAGTCTTTCCATGTCCTTTAGGCTGGAGCAAGGAGTTTCTTTTCAGAAAGAACCACGCCTGTTTTAAAAATCATCTTCCTCTAGTGCCTTAGAGTCATAGGTCTTGGACTAAACTATAATGGCTTTCAGGCTGCTTGTACTGATTCAGTTCAAGTCCTCTTATTTCCTGTAGCCTGCTCTGGTACACCAGGATACTGCTCTGAATGTCCCTGTGTGCCCAGGTTGCTGCTTTTGCTGGGGCTGTCTGTCAGCTGGGATTTCTGTGGTGCTTGGAAATGGTCCTGAAGTGTGGGGAACCTGTCATTAGTCATTCTTCATGGCTTCTGAGCTGAGTAGGAATGCTTTGCTCTTCCTCCAAGAATTTATTTTGGCTATTTGCAGACAAACTTTGGCTCACAAAAATCTCTGCTTAGTGTTAGTCCCAGTAGAAATAAAGTGCTGGGAATTTCAAGTGCTTAGGATGAGCCGTTCACAGGATTTGGCAGATTGCAGACCTGAGGCAATGTCACGAAGCTGAGTCAAGGGAAGTTTAGTTTGGATATCAAAAATCGTTTCTTCCCCTGAAGTGTGGTAGTGCACTGGAACAGGCTCCCCAAGGCACCAGGCCTGTCTGACTTCAAGAAGCGTTTAGACAACGCTCTCAGGCACATGGTATGGTTCTTGGGGGGTCCTGCACAGGGCCAGGACTTGGAGTGGATGATCCTGATGGGTCCCTTCCAACTCAGTATATTCTGTAAGCACTGAGCATCGGGAGAGCTCGAGGAAGAGGCGTCCCTGCGAAACACCTTTCTGCTCCCTTCTGCTGCCTTCAGCCCTTCTCTGATGGCAGATGGTGAGGGGAAGAGGGGCACCAGAAGCTGTCCTCAGAGAAATCTCCCGGCCGGCCGTCCGTCCGTCCGCCCGCCCGTGCCGCGCTCCATCCCCACGTTCCAGACGGGGTTTCTGGCCCCGCCCCGGAGGCCCCGCCCCGCGCGGCCCTGAGGGCCGTCAGCGCTGCCCGCCGGCCCCGCCCCGCCGCCTCAGCGGGCGCCGCCATGGCGCGGGCACCGGGCTCGTCCGCCGCTCCTCTCGGCTCCTTCCTCAGGGACTTCCCGGCCCCGCTGGGCCCGGGCGAGCCGCTGCCCTGGAGCTCCGCGGGGAGCGGCGCCCTGAGCAGGGCCGAGGTTCCCGGCGCGCTGGCGGAGCGGGCGAGGAGCCTTTTGGGCGGCAGGTGAGGGGGCGGCGGTGCTGGCGGGAGGCTCCGGCCGTGCTCCCCTGGGGGCAGCGCCGGCAGCGGGCGGGAGGCAGCGGGGCCGACCCACCACAGCAGGTGCAGGAGCGGGAGGCGCTTCCTTCTGACGCGGGGCTCGCCTGGGTTTGGGGAGAGCCCCCGGCGTCTCTCAGGGAATGTTACCTTTGGGGACTTATTTGTTTATTTATTACTGCCCTCCTTATTTGCTTTTTGTGACTTTTAACGACGTGCTTCTGTCACAGGCCTGCCGCCCTGGCCCCGTGCCTTTATAACGTTATTTGTGTATGCGCTTCAAAAATATTTCTCTCCCGGTGCAGGAGGGATTCAACTACAAGCCTGCAATTAGCGCGATGGAGAGATTCTTGTGATGGAAGTACCAATAGCTGGAATTCAAGCCCCTAAGGGCACCTGTGTGGGGCTGCTTGAAAGTCTGGGAGGGAGTCTGTGAGCTGCAGCCTCGCAGAGCTGTCAGGGGTAAGAAGGAAAGCAGCTGCAAGGCTGTTAAGCTCCCCGGCCCTCCTGAGTCCTGCGGAGTAGGATGTGCTTGTGTGGGTTTCTCGAGTTGATATTTTCTCAGAACTTCAGACGTGTAGTCATACCACTGCTGGAACAGTCATCTGCTCATCAGTAGTGTCTCTGTTATCCCATAACTTCAGGAGACACCTCTTATAACCTTCACCCTGAATGGTTTACCCTTTAACACTACTAGGAATTTGGATGTGACTTACTTTTGGCAAGTTAGTGCTTCATCGAGAACAAGTTGTCTCGCTCCAATCTCTTGTCTGCTTATACTCTTCACTCTTTCTGAAGCACTTGAACAGTAGGGCCTGTGCATTCCAGGTTTTATAAAGTTCCTACCACAGTCTGCTCCATTAATCTGTTTGTAAGAGTCAATAACAGGGATTGTGGATGGTCTAAAAGAATCTTAGTGTTGTGGTAATGGGGGTGTGAAGTCAGGGAGCAAAGGGAGACTGGTTCTGGTTAGGTATATGGGAATATTACCTGGTTACTAGTGGAATTTTATAGATAGAAAACATAGTTTGAATTACTTGTCTCTCTAACTACCACTTGGTGAGTTTGTAAACACCACCTGTTATATCAAAATAGATTTTTGTTGTTGAAAGTGTATAGGTGATTTTTAAATGTTTAAATTGCCTTAAACAATCAAGTTACTCCTTTTCTTTATATTACAGAGATGTTTCTGAACATAATATCACTCAGTTAAATGGCATGCCTAATCCTGGAGATAAGAAATGCATACAAAACATGCTTTTTTTAAGCTGTAGTTTAAAAAGACACAGATGATTATTGCATTAGTTAGTTGTGCTTTGACTAAATTGCTCTTGAACAAAACATAGCTGTTGCATTCCCAGTGAAACTGCAAATTCACTGCATGTACTGAATCTTGGAACTCTGTGGAGCAGGAGTAGTTCTGGGTGAATGCTTTAAAGAACAGGATAATGCCATCTTGAACAAATACTTATCACATGGCAACCCCTCTGCCACGTGGGCCAGGCTGATGTTTTCTACAGTTCCTTAAGAGAGGAGGGTATGAAGCTGTAGAGTTATGGGATATGTTATCCAACAAATGTAGTGATTTAAAAATCAGTATTTCTGAGTTACGTATCTGTTAACATTCTGTTGTTCTCTTAGTGGGCACAGCAACAAGGGGAAACACAAGAGGAGAGCTGGTTTTGCAGTGCTTTCACCTTGCCTTTCACTCCTGGTGTTTACGCAGCAGAGCCTGCCAGTGTCAGAAGCTGCATTTTTCACATACCTGCCCTGCAGCCAGTTCAGGTTACACAGCCTGTTTTGTGGAGCTGCCCAAGTCCTGAGCTGGAAAAAAAAAAAAAAAAAAAAAAGGAAAGGAAAGATAACTAAAGAAAGTAAAGCAGGATATAAATTCAGCAATCTTCATACTTATCATTCTTTTCACAAAATGTATTACAAACAAGAAATAGATATGGAAAGTGGTTTTAGGAATTCTCATGGCTGACTACAGGCAGCTCTGTGTTTGTAAGCCATGTGTTTGGGTATAGTGTAGCATACCTGAAGTGTCAAATATAGGGATGCCCACAGAATTATAGCTCAGTTTTGGACTCCTGTGATAAAGAGAAACCCCATTTTGCAGATGCAGAAAGGCTGCATTTTCCTGTTGGGTAGGCTAAGTTCTTGTGTGTGGAGCAAAAGACTGCTGCAGCCTAAGGCCAAGACAGAAATCCAGTGTTTTGAAATTGCCAGCCTTCTTCTCATAAACTGTGTAATTAGGAACTAAAACTGAAGTCTGATTGTGTGAGAAATTGCCAAAGATTACATTTTCTTTCCCATGTTTGCTACTGTGGATCAACTAAAAATGCAGTTTTGAAAGTTTATTTAACTTTTTCGTTGATGTGAATCCCCCAAATTCTCAATAAAATAGATGAGGGAATAGTAAGGGAATAAGAGAAAGAAGGATGTTGAAGGTTTTAAGAAATGGGAAAATTAAGGGAAGGGATGACACTTAGAAGACATTTAAATGTCTGTATAAAGTTGTTGAAGATGCAGAAGTGGTGCCAGATTAGTGACCTCATGAGAGGTCACTGTAGTTTAGATCCAGAGATCTGCTGTTGCATGCTGTGACAGCAGCATCCCAAACACATGGGTGGCAGCTCATTGGAAAATACTCGCCTTCAAATATCACAGTGTCGATCTAAGCAAGTTTAATGCTATGAAGATGTTATTGAATATTCCTCACTGCCTGCTGGCATTGATGCTTGTCTTGTATTTCCTCAGTGTATTTTCTTAATTTCTCTAACACTCCAGCATCACAGAATGTATTTTACGTGGTGATTAGCAAGGATGAAGGATTTCTCTGTAGATCAAAGTGTTATTGGGAATCAAGTTTGACACGCAGTTTTGCTGTTCTGCTTCTCATTTCTGTGTTGACAAGTACTTCATTCACATGTGCACAGATGTGTGGGTCATGCCTTGAAGGGCCTGAGCCAATATCCTTGGCTCATGAGACAACACATGGTGATGTTTAGCTTGTTCTTCCAGTTCCTTGAAGGCACAAAACTCTGTGTCTCTGCAATGAGGAACATTGTTCCTCCACTATTGCTCAGGATTGCTGTTGAGAAGAGAATGGGCAAAGGAATAACATCGAGATCCAAAAAGGAGTTCTGAATGCTGTTGCTTCTCTAAGGCTACACACATCTCTTAACATAGAAGCAGTTGGATACCTCAGACTAACGCTCCTGAATGCCTGTCCTAATCTAAAATTAATTATTTTAACAAACTTCTCCAAACTCAGCTACCGTAGCCAAACACCAGCTAACAGAGCAAACCTCTTTTGCGCCCTGGCAGGCCTTGTGCTTAAATCACTCATCTGGTGAAGCTTTGCAGTATTCTACTTTGAATAATTCATTTAAATCAATGGAACTGCCTGCTCCTAACTGCAGTACATAAATTCTGAAGAATCAGGGCAGGTTTAGTGATCTTGTTTTGCAGAATTTTAATTAACATACACTTTTGGGTAAGAGCTGTGTGTTCCAACAGTCTGTGGAAACAGAGCGATGTGAATGAGTAGTCCATTAGTTACTTACAAAGCTTTAGAAATCAACCTGAAACATTCCTGACTTGCACTGGAACAGAACATGAGGTAAAATCAGACCCCCAAATATAGAAATTTCTTCTTCCCCTTGATATGACCTGAAACTTGTATGGCCATCCTGTGACATATCCAAGGAACAATGTAAAACTCCTGCAGCCTTCCTGTTTGAGGAGCTTTGCTACAATAACAAACAGTTGGGAGACTTGAGCTTCCGGTTCTGCCCTCTCCCAAAGGATCTGCCGTGTTGCCTCAGCATCCTGTTTTGTGTCAGTTTTACACTGTAGCACTCACACCCAAGGTGTGGTCCTAGCATCTTTATTTTCAGCATTTCCCTTCTTTTAGAGTAGTTAATTCAGCAATTCTGATATTTTGATGTTTGTATATGATGTAGGCATGAGGAGGGAGAAAAGAAAATCTTACCTTGCTTCTTATTTGCCCAATCTCTTCTTAAAACTCTCTTTAGTCCTTTTGTCTGTGAAAACTACTAATCCCCTGTCTACTGTGATCCCTGCTTTTAATAAATACTTCCTTATTCCTAATTTGTACTATTTAGTGTAATGTATTAATACTTCTCATTGCTGGGAACATGTTTGCAGTGTCACCGTTCAGTTCAGACAAGACAGTGAATGTCAGGTGTGATTGCCTGCAAACAAACTTCCTAGTTTCTATGGAATCAGTTGTGCTCCGTAGCAGAAGCAAATGTGGGCTTATCAGAAACAACCTGCTTTGGAACACCAGCCCTCTCACTGGTTTGTGATTAACAATGTTAAAGTTTTTTTCTAGCTTTGATAAAGTTAATGTGTAAGAGGAATGTGGCACTTCTGCTATTTATTAGTTAATTGGGCAAATGGTTAACAAACTGGCTCTAGTAATTTTGGGTGGTGACCAAAACTAGCTTGTGTTCTGTTGTGTGTGGTTTGTTCACTGCTGCTGCTGAAGCTGATGGCAGGATCATACATAGCTTAGGAGAAATGATATGAGCTCACACTGTACACGTGTCTGGATAGTAAAGATTTTGGAAGCTCTCTCCTGCCTTTGACACTACATAGAGGGTGGATAAACTGTTAATTTTGTATTAATGTGTGTTTCTTAATTCAAAATGCTCAGGGAGTTTTCCCAGTTACAAGATGTTCCCAATAGTAATTCTGTGAAAGAATTACTTTACCTTTAAAAAGAAAGCATGTGTGTAGGGACACCTGCAATACAAGAAAGAAAAGACCTGATGAAATGCTGGGGGGGGGGGAAAAAAAAAAGATCAATTTTATAACAGTGAGAAAACTTTCAGGGTTGGCTTGCTGGTTCTTTTGGTTCTACTGGGAAAACTGAAATTGTGTTCCAGAGCTTTCATATTTTGCTCTCATAACATATGTGAAACACCCTTTCTGTTGTTGTTTGAATTGGGCATCAAAATAAGAAATACTCAATTTTGAAACAACGTGTTTAGGGCTTAATTGAAAAGTGGCTTTTGTGGAATTAAACCTCTCCAGTTCCACTGTGTGGTTTTTCTTCCTGCTGAGAATGAAATGGAAGTAGCAGGTGACTCTCTTGCACATTTTCTATAAAAACTGTCCAGTAATAACTGAAGGGCCTGAACAGATGGATTCTGGATTCTAAAGCTGCTGCTTCTCATAGTTGCATAAGAAAAGCTGGAAAACCCCTGCTTCACGTAAACATAAGAGGTGGAAATTCTCTGTGTGGCATTGTTTATGTATTTGTTTTGATTCCATATTGCTCATCTCCTTTAAAGACCTAATGTCATTAACACAAGAAACAACCTCCTGTGCATATTAGGATGTCAGATGTTCTCTCCTCGATGGAGATATATATATATATGTGTGTGTGTATGTGTATATATATATATATTTGTACTTTCCTAGTCACCATCAGTCTGGGAACTGTGAGTGCTACTCTAATAAATACTAATGCTGCTTAAGTGGAAACATTCTGTAGTTGATTATAAGAATAAAAAGAGAGAGGAAAATAAAAGTAGCAGATTGGGGAGAAAATAGTGAATACAAGCAGCTTTTGTTTATGAGAGACCTTGTGACCTGCTATTATTTTGGCAGTATGAGAGGATCTTTCACTTACTAGAGAACTGCTGGCATTTGCAGATCTGCTGTAAACCCACTGCTGGTAGGGCTGTAACGTGCTAGAAACACACACAGAGTCCACAGTGACAGACTTTGCTTTACTGGCAGAGTTGTGCCGTGTGTGATCTTCTGGTGATAGAGAGTCCCTGTAGCAAATGAGTGCACAAATGTATCATCCGTCAAATATACAGCAGGTGCAGCTGATTTATGTGACAAGCTTGTGCCAGCAGATATAGCACGTCTTTTTCCCCAACATATGCATATACATATATGCACACTCTGAGAGGAGCAGATGATCATACAGTGGTGTTCTGGCCTGCAGTACCACTGCTGCCTTGTTGCCATGACTTTGGTAATAATATCTAGAAACATCATCATGTATTTTTTTTTTTTTTTTTGTAATTTGAAAGTGATCAATAGTTAGCCAATACAGTTGGTAATCTCTTGTGCTTCTCTTTCTATAAACAGATTTCATGACAGTACTGTGGGAGAACTGTCTGTTTGGGGTGGGAGGATCTGAATTCTTTTCCTTCCCCCCCAGAAAAAAAATGCAGAAGGCTTTGTATAAACAAGAGGTGTTTGGTCTGTCCTGGAGAGGCTTGTGCCATCCTCTACCAGGTGACACAGAGCTCAGGTCTTTCCTCCCAGTGCTGAGGAGCAGCTGTGTGCAATCTGCCATCTGCTACACTGCTCTGTGTCCTCAAAGCTGCCGTGAGCTTCGGGCAGAGAGTACAGCAGGAGGTCTGTCAGTTCTTTTCAAGCTTTTGTAAAAAGTCTAGTTGTAGTTGAGGCTCTGGCCTAGGTGTGGTGGCCTGATTTTTGATGCTCTGGATGCTTCTACCTTACCTGCAAAGCTGTTTTTTCTAGGAAGCAGGATTTTGGAGGAGGGGGGAGTTGACATATCCTTTTTGGATGTACTTTTTGCCTGACTCCTTTTTGGATGTACTTCTTGCCTGACTCCTTTTTGGATGTACTTCTTGCCTGACCTTTTAAAAGGTTGTCTGTCAGTGTCTGTAGTTATAAGCAGGCATTGTTACTTTAACTAAGCTAGGAGAGGGACTGACTCCCCTAAACTTATTTGCGTTTAAAAAGAAATAAAAAGGCACTTTCTGTTTTCCCTAGATGTGACATGACTGCAGCCAGCACTGAAAGGGCTGCGAGCACATTGCCATCTGTTTGAAGTACCGAAATAACTCATTAAAGGGGGTCGTCAGTGCCACAGAACGGAGCAGAAAGCAAGGCTATGTTAGCAGCCTGCTGACTAACACAATGCTTTCTGTTTGCTGCCATGGGAGGTACTCGTACAGGGCTGGGAGGATGTGACAAGGCCTCTCTTTCAGAAACACAATGGCAAAATGCATTTCAGCTTGTTGTCACTGGGGTCTAAAACCTCGCAGTCTTCCCCTCTCTGCCCTGCTGTACACACGCAAACCAGTCATCGCTGTGGAACATCTGCACACACCAGTTGCTTCCTCCGTTTCATCCTCTGCAGCAAACTGGTTCTATGCAGGACTTTCTAACTGTTTCCTGGCAAAACAATATCTTGTCCTTGGCTTGCTGCAGGTGCCTTAATGTGGTATTTGCTTTGATTGTATAATTTGATATTCTGTGGGAATCAAACACTCCGGGAACAATGGATAAAATGCTTTTTATGGATGTTCATTGTGCTTATAGAAAATGGGTGGAATGTGTGTTATGTACCATAGTTGTTAGTGCTTGCCATGGGAATATAGTGAATATAAGAGAGTTATTTTCTAGTAGCCCCCTTTTAAAGTTGGATAGGACTTACTTGTTTACAGCTTCAAAGGCATTATAGCAATTGTGTGCCTCCTAAAGAACTGGAATAAAGCATTCAATAAGCAGGAGAGGGTGAGTAGATTGTGTAACATTATTGTCTTCTAGATGCTAACCTAAAAGCTTCATCTGACTCACAAGCCTTGGAGTCTCTTGTCCTGGTCCCCAGTGCTGACTCTTTGCACCTTCCTCCTGGTTGATTTCTTTGGGCAACTTACAGGGAGGAGAGACTGAACAATGAGGGCTGTAGTTTAGGTTAGCACTAAGCAAGACTTTCCTTGTGGAGTCCTAAGTAACCTTTTTGGAGATTTCAATGTACCACAATGCAGAGATCTTGATACTGTGGGACTGCAAACAAGAAATGCCATGTAGTGAGTAAAAATAAAGTGTGTTCAGAGGCTGGAATTGAAGGTAGCAGTTCCCATCTGAGAGCCCAGGAGAAGGAGGTACCATCTGTGACTGGAGTGTGAGGCAACAGTTTGAAAACATGATTCATACACTTCTTCCTCTTTGCATTCTTGAGAAAGCAGTTGTCTAACTGAGGATCTTACTGAAGATTTGTATGCATAAATATTGAACATATGGTATCCTCTGCTAGTTTACTAATGAAGTTGGAATTACTATGTGTAACATTCTCTAATTTCTGAAGTCACCAGCAATACACAGTGAGGTTGTAGCTCAGTTTAAACTAATGCACTCTTTTGCTTTCCCTTCCTTTTCTTACCAGCAGAGGTGTTCCACCACTTCTTGCAGCATCGTTGATCCATACTGCAGTTGATGAAGTTCTCCAAACAGACTTGACTGAGTTTAAGCTGCAAAATGTGGAAACAGAGGGAGAAAGAGATGAGGAAAGGTTCACCTGTAAGTATACTCTTTCCGTCTGTGGTTTTCCCAGAAGCTGTCTGTCAGAAGACCTCAGTGTTTTGAAATGTTTCTGAGATTATTTGGTTAGGCTGCCTGGTAAGCAGCAGTGAGCAGAACTTTATTTGCTTCTGCTGGGTATCTGAGGGATGAAAGGAAGCTGTACTAGTTTTGTGGGCAACATGCAAACACGATGTCTGGAGCCCTGGACTGATTGTGTGGGTTCGCTTTCTGGAAAAGGAAGAGAGTGCCCTTTTCTCATTGGTAGGCTGACTTTAGCTAAGACTCCTGTGTTTTGACAGTGGCATCTTCACAGTTGCTGATATGCAGCCACACCAACACCTAAATTCATCCATATAAACCATCTTGCTTTTCTCCTGGGAGCCAGATTTTGGGACTTCTGGCCCCTCCACACCTTGAACATCCTAAAACTCCAGATTTTTTCTTGGCAAGTTTCTCAGTAGTCACTGTCCTTATTGATGATATCTTCTCTTGCCACCCTCCCTATAAAGATGGGATGCTGAGGGAAGAAGAACCTCTGTGTTCTACCTGATGCCTGGATTTTCTTCTGAGTGAACTAGAGAGAAAACAGACATTAGTGACTGAGTACTGGGTTTGTGCCTCATGTAACAGATGGTCCTCCTGAATTTGCATGCTGAAATGTTTAACATTAGACTTCTCCAAACCTTCAGTTCCAGTGCCAAGAATTTAAATGGAGCAGGGTGCAGGTAGAGCCAAAACAGAAATGGAGGAGAGATGCCTTAGACAAACTACTCTGTCCCGAAAGGGGAAATACTGGCCCTTCCATTTCCCTGGAATGGTTTGAAAGGCAGTTCAGTGTGCCCCAGAGGATGCTCCAAGCAAAGTGCTGCAATGGCCAGGATACAACACTTTCCAGAGCCTGTTTCAGCATCCATGTCCAAGCCCGAAATGGCAGGAGGGGGAGCACAGTTAAGCAAGCCTTGCTGCAGCCTGACTACGCCATCCCTTGCCTTAATGCTTTTGGCCTTCATGTGCCTAGAGAGACTCAGGATGTTTCCAGCACTTTGCATAGCAAGAGTTGGCTTCTCATCAGGTTGTCTGGGGTCTAAACAGCACACCCTCGCTTTCCTCCTTGGTGTGGGACTGGAAGGGTCCAGGGCTGGAAGGGTTCCCCAGAGCCTGCAAAGGAGAGCTGGCAAATACGAGTTCAGTGTGACCAGATCACTGCAACAGTACGATAATAAAGAAATGCAGGTAGCAGTGCCAGAGCGTGGCTTTGCGCAGGGGAGACTGGAGGGGATCAAGGTACTGATCTTCCATAACCAGAAGCTCTATATTATGTTTGTGGCAATGCCTGTAAGCCATGTGGTGAGATACAGCATTGTCAAGAGTGATAGTAAGCACCTACTTACGTCCGAAAGAACTGTATCTTGCTGAGATGTGACTTCATGCTCCAGTAGTGCATCTTTGCTTCGTATCGCTCAGCCTCTGTAGGAAAATCAGAAACAGCCTATTGTAACCCACATATGATAGTCATGGAGGTTTTCACAAAGCAGTTTGAAACTGGTCATCGAAGCATCCTGCAAGTCACTCTGCTGTGGATTCTCTGTTGGCTCCTATGTAATTTTCTTTGAGGTGAACTGTAGCAGTAACATGACATGAACTGCTACACATTTGTGAGTCTAGGATTATAATTTCTGAATCTAGATCTTACAAAAATCTTGGGCCTGCAAACCCAAGTGAACCTCATCTGAATGGCAGAGAAATTATAATGTTTAAAAACTGAGTAATTATGAGCTTGACAGGACAGGGACATTTTCTCAGTCACAAGCATCTAATGTCTCTGGAATCCTGTATGGTTACCATATACTGGGGACATCAGTAGAATAGTCATGCTGCTGTTTTACTCTGAAGACCGTAAAGATATAGGATTAGAATCTACTCTTAAGATAGCACAGGCAAAGTCAGAAAATCCTTGGATGAGTTCCATATTCAGGTAGTCCAGGTTCTCTCTCACTATTCATTGTTGACAAATGTCTCAGAGCCTTACTTATTCTGATGGTTGAAACCATCTTTAATTTCCATTTTATGTATTCCTGTCTATTTTATGTTTATTTGTTCCTGTGTCACTATTGCCATTTAGATCAAATATCTATTCAGCATTCCCCTATTGAACAGGATGGAAATCTGCTCACCGTCCAGGTACTTGCCTAATTGCCTAATCCCAGCAAGGAACAGCTACTGTACTTGTTTTCCCTATCCTATAATTGCTTACATCAGTTTAACTGTACAACATGGAAGAAAGATGTTCTATGTGCTACACCACAGTATGGGCTCCCTCTTCCTGCACTGCAGTAATAAGTCTGGCAAAAATAGCATTCTTGGAATGAAAGAGAAGTAATTACGTAAAAGGAAGGTGTGTGTGTGTGTGTGTTCTTTTATGGGTACCACTGCTTTTGGTATATTGCAGAAGCATTTCTGCTGTTAAGGTACTAAATTCTTTGTCAGATTTCACAAGCTTAACATTTAAACACTTAAATACTTCTGGTTATTATTAGTCTAGACATTTACAAATAAGCAAATTAATAGATGTAGACAAGGCTGTCTAAGATGCTGTCCTATTTAGTTATGTTGTATATGGCATGATTTAATATTTACAAGTTTTAATAACTTACCCATTCGAACCTGCATATTAAGCTAATCAAAAGTAATTTTGGTTAATATATAGTGATTGCTAATCAAAAATCTGTGTTAAATTTAAAGCTTTCAATTCTCCAAGCCCAGAGAGGCATCTGAAGCTGGCCAGCCAGCGTTGCTGAGAAAAAGAAATGCTTGAGAACCAAAAGTAATAAAAGGAATTCTGAGGAAGCTTTAATGCGAACAGGATTAGCAGGAATCAAAGCAACATAGAAATAGGAAAGATAGTTCAGAATCTGCAGTTCTTTAGGAATCACACTAGCGACCAGCAAATTATTTTTGCTCTATAAGTGTTCCTTCCAATGTATTTTGCAGTTAGTTGATTTAGCACTGAGTCAGGGTTCCTACTCAGATAACAAAACTTTAATTATTACCTGTTTGAAGAGAGACTGCATTGCAAATCTAGACACAATGCAAAACACCAAACCATTCAGTCTGATGAACAGTAAGTTTGGAATAGTTGATCTTTGGGATCTATCCAGAATAGGACTTGAGTGTCTGGCTGGAGCTTTTCATGCTATGCCCACTGAGTGTGTACAGTTCTGCTCTGCAGTGACAGAGCTGGAAAGTAGCGGAAGTGTTCTGTCCCCCCAGCTCCTTCAACCCTGAGTATTTAAAAATCTAAAGATAACAGCTTAAAATTCTAGTTGTTCAGCTCAACTATGAGTTGAGCTATTGATCTCAGCAAAACATTCTCAGACTTCCTTGTTGTTTCAGTGGAAGTGGTTCAGTAGGACATAAACCGATCCAAAGCTAGGCTAATGCTTTCTCGACCCTTGTGTCCAAGACAACAGCAATATCATCTTGAAGGCTTTTATGACCACTTGATTATTTCCCCCTTTTTTTTTTTTTTTTCAGTAGGGAGGAATTCCTACCACTATATCTTATTAATTTTACTTACATAATGATAACGTTTATGTCTCATATGCCAGATTGACTTTTGGGTCTCTTTACAATTTTTGTAATGTAATCACCTACTTGATAAGCCCCTGTTTTGAAAGAGAACCAGCAAGTAAAGAAGCTGCTATTATCCTTGATGTTATACTGGTTTCCATTGCAACTTCCTCTCAGGACCCCATTTTAATTCTTGCAGAGCCTGTACAGGTAGAGTGCTGTATGTGTGCATGTAGCTGTAAGAAAAGAAACTTTAGGAACGACAGGCCAAAAGATGGGGTAATGTAGGAACACAGGGCACAGCACTGACTGTTTTGTCTTTGTGCTCTCAGTGCTGGATGGGGAGTCACTGCAGCGCTGCTTCTTTAACAAGCTTCGCGATGTTTGCTCTGAGTGGCAGAAGCAGTTGCCACCACTGAGACCCCTTGAGCGGTTCCTGCTTGTTTCCATCCACGCCATTCGTAACACTCGACGGAAAATGGAGGATCGCCATGTTCTGCTCCCAGAGTTCAACCAGCTCTTCGGTTTATCAGTAAGTCTGGACATGGTTGGGGAGGCCAGTTGGGTGGCTTTTCAACATTGCTGTAAACACAATGGCCTAGTGATGGATGGCCTGTGAAATGGCAAATATTTGTTACCACAAGTTACTTATCATGTCTGTGCTGGAGCAGGGACTTAATGACTCACATTGCTGGGGGACAACTACTCTCTTGATAAAGAAGTGATACAGGGAGGATCTTGTGACTTTGGGTTTCATGTCATAAGTGATACAGGGAGATGGGAAATTCACCTAATGTTATGTTCCTGGAGTTACAATGTTCTTGTGACTGACACAACTTATATATTTATTGAAAGCCGCCCTGGGGAGAAGGACCTGGGGGTGTTTGATGAGAAGCTCAGTGTGACCCAGTGGTGCGTACCTGCAGCTCATAAAGCCGGACGTGCCCTGAGCTGCATCCAAAGCAGCATGAGCAGAAGGTCAAGCGAGGGGATTCTGCCCCTCTACTCTGTCTTTGTGACACCCCACCTGAAGTGCTGCATCCAACTCTGGGACCCACAACAAAAAAATTAGATGGACCTACTGGAGTGAGTCCAGAGGAGGCCACAAAGATGATGAGAGTGCAGGAGCACCTCTGCTGTGAGGACAGGTTGAGACAGCTGGGGTTGGTCAGCCTGGAGAAGAAAAGGTTCTGGGGAGACCTTTGAGCGCCTTCCAGGGTCTAAAGGGTAATGGGAGAGGGGCTTTTTTTACAAGGCATGTAGTGACAAGAAAAAGGGGAATAGTTTTAAACTGAAAGAGTGCATATTCACTTGAGATGTTAAGAAGAAATTCTTTACTGTGAGGGTGGGGAGGCCCTGGCACAGGTTGCCCAGAGAAGCTGTGGCTGCCCCATCCCTGGAAGTGTCCAAGGCCAGGTTGGATGTGGTTTAGGGCAACCTGGTCTAGTGGTAGATGTCCCTGTCCATGGCAGAGGGGCTGGAATGAGACTGTATGACCCCTTCCAACCCAAACCATTCAATGACATTAAGAACAGAAGAGGGGAAAATAAGTGCGATAAGTACCAATTAATGAAACTGCTGTAGGACTACATAACCAGCCATCTGCTGTTTCAATTCCAGGTTATGTTCAAGGACATTAAGTGACTAACAGTAAACAAAGAAAAGTAATTCTCTTGCAAATTACCCATTTTATCCATTTTGTACATGTGTAAATGGATTTAAATTGCTGTTTGTGTGAAAGAATGCTCAGAATAAAGAATCTTTGCTTGGTAGTACCAGTCTATGAGCTGTATTGTTTTTGAACATGAATGTGTTGTGTCTTCTCTCTTCCTCCCTGCAAAAGGATGATGTTGACCGCGCTTACTTTGCGGTGTTTGATGGCCATGGTGGAGTGGATGCTGCTAATTATTCAGCAACCCATTTACATGTAAACGTTGGGTTGCATGAAGAGATTGTTAAGAATCCAGCTGAGGCCTTGAAATGCTCTTTCCAGAAAACAGACGAAATGTTTCTATTCAAAGCCAAAAGAGAGGTGAGTGGGTACAGATTAATTCAATTGTATTTAAGTAACTGTTGGACAACGTGGTATTATCCAGAAAATTCTGGCAATACAGTTTCTTTGAATCACTGGCTTCTTTATGAAATTATGCTACATATAAAGGGTTTTTTTGATCAAATTATATCTTATTTTGAGGAAAGTCAAAATGACAGTGCTTGAAAGTTCAAGATGAGTAACTGAAAAGAGGTGTTAAAGTGGTTTAAATGTTTCTGACATACCAATTATTTGAGAGAACACTGCTGCCTCTTTGCCTAAATTGCGCAGCCTCTATATGTTCTATTTTTCTACCTCTTACCTGGAAGAGATATTTCTCTCTTCCTTATAATATGGTCACTGTCTTCCTCTTTCCTGTGCCACCATTAGTGTCACAGGTGGTTGTAAGTGAAAAAAGAGTTCTGTTATTTAAATCACACTCTTCAGTTCATTAAACTTACTGATCAGCTTTGAATCAAGTTGGTATGATAAACATTCTCTCTTCAAATCTATATAATGGAAGGATGGTTTATTACACAGTTTGAGAACTCTTTTATTATTATGGCAGTATAGGGAAGTATTCATGGTTAATCTGTCAATTAGGTATAAAAGAGGGACCAGCATCTCCGTAAGGTCTGAATCACTTATCTAGGACAGTTAATTCTTTCTTTTGTTGACATTCTTATTTGAATACCCAAGGAAAAAGGGATCTATGTAGATCAAGGTGTCTGTGGTTTCTAGTGTTAGAGTGGAAGATGTGAAAGGCATTGGAGAGATCTGTGTGTGTTTGCGAAATGTTCATAATACTGAAATTCAGATCCTCTTGCTTTTCTGTGTCTGTGTTTTAAACAATAGAGCTCTTATTCTCCTTGATGACTTTTGGAATTAATAGCAGAGAAGGAAGAACATAATGGAGGCCATATTAACCACCTGCATGCTAGAAAATATGTGTATAAATAGTTTATTTCAACTCTGTCTACTATCTTGTACTTTTTTTTCATGTAACTGAATTAAGATTGGCAGGTCTACTCTGTTACATTTAGTGTGATTAAACCTAAGTTTACAATATTGCCATATATCCTAGTAGGGCATGTTGAATGTTCACCAGACATCCCTGTTGCCTTCTGTAGAAGCTGCGGAGCGGCACAACAGGTGTATCTGCGTTGATTGTAGGGAACAAGCTGCACATAGCATGGCTGGGGGACTCACAGGTGATGCTGGTGCAGCAAGGGAAAGCTGTGACATTAATGGAACCCCACAAACCAGAAAGAGAAGTAAGTCTGACTGGTTAATTTTTCTCCTAAGTGTGTGTTGTCACAATCTCTTTTGAAACCTTTTGGAATCAAGCTTGCTTAAGTGTTTGGTGCTTTACATAATTACATATGTTGTATGGTACAATCTGGAGAATCAACAATTATTTTTTTTTGCATACACTCCTGTGTCTTGACAGGGTGATTCCTACACCTTGCCTGCTTCAAACTGCTGATGGTACTGGTAGTCCTGACTTCAGTTCCTGCTTAGACTGTCTGTTCGAAATTTGTCGTAATTAAAGACTTTCACAGGATTTTTGTGTGTTTGTGGATGTGAATTTAAATCTGCCTATTTCAAAATAATTTACTATTTTGAGATTAATTGCTGTTTAAAATGTTATCATAATGCAAGTCTTTCACAGTATGCAGTACTGTCAATGAAAAGCTAATACTAATCTACTGGCCTAACTGGCTTAAAGTGTATTGCATTTCCTATCTGTTTTAAATAGCCAGATATTTTATTGTATGAAATTGGATGGGAACCTTGCGAGTTTAGCTGGCATTGCATGACCTTTTGCCCTCATTGCATAAATATTTGTAGTAACTGAGTAGTTAAAGAAGTATTAAGGCAAATGCTATTGTTACTTTGCCTAGTTATCTTGTATTTCATTCCAAATATATTTACCCAATTGCTGTATGGGATGGCAAGAAATGGCAGGAAAGAGTATTCATCCATGTGGGAAAGATCATGACAATACAGAAAATTAAGAATTCTGCTTTTTTGTGGCCAAGTTTAGAATGGTTGGGAAGAAGCAGTTTGTTTCTAGTAACCCTAAGTGCATGTTTCTGCGGTAGATTCTGCTTTGTGCACTTACTATATTCACAGTAGAAATACAGAAGCTGAAACAGCATAAAAAATGTATTCCACTGTTTTTCAGGATGAGAGAGCACGGATTGAGACTCTGGGTGGTTGTGTAACCTACATGGACTGCTGGCGGGTTAATGGTACCTTGGCTGTTTCCAGAGCAATTGGTAAGATAAAGATAAACTTCAGAATTAGTAAATGTCAGATTATATTTGATTGAAATACACCACCTGAGATTGCAAATTGTATTTTGCTCAGCATCAACCACATAATAAACAACTCTTACTGTCTTTCCCATAAGGCGAACTATAGGACTTACATGGCCTGCAGATACATCATGTTATTGGTTTTACCGTGAGCATAGGATATTCTTCTCTTTTACTAGCCATGATAATCCTCATTCTTTTCTTCTTTTAAGTTTTTTGCTTCTTATAAATACCTTTGATACTGTGGTGTTTTACAGTAGTTTAACAAATGTGTAGCATTTAATTTGTAAAAGTGGATGAAGCAATAAGTGTTTATCTATTCTTCTTTATGTGCCCAAATATCTGCTTTTTGGGGGGGGTTGTTCACTTTAATGTGAATGTATCTTTCTCCTTGACTGTGGATCTTTCTCTTTCAAATCACACATATCCAGCAATTTAGGGTATTTTAATTTTAGTATTCCAGAATCTTATTAAATAAGCTTACTTTGCTATTAACCGATTAGGACAAAAAGAGAAAAAAACCCTGGGCAATACACTAGATAACTATGATGTATGAGTGGAAGCAAATTAGTATAAAATTGCAGTAATACTGTTTGGATCGATAGCAACCCATGTTTACTAAGTATGTCCATATAGAACTGAAGAACTACACACAGATTCTGATGTCATTGTGCTGTATATCTGCATAGCTAAGAAAAATCTTATTTCGTGACATGCTGAAGGCTGTACAAGAGGCATACCTGCAAAATGAAGGCCTGACCATCTCCTTGCACAAATATATTTCTGAGAGAAAAAACTTAGTAATAATTTCTTTAGTTTCCCTGCAAAATTAGGAAAGCATAAATTAAAACAACCACTGGATTTAGGTAGGTTCCAAGTGTTCTTAAAGAATCAAAGGTCTTCCGTGATTATTCTATAGCTTTTGACTACTCTTATCTGCATCAGGTACCTCTGGAATATGATCTGGCTGTCCTTGAGGACAGTAAAAGCAATTGGTGGGTGAAGAAGTACCTGTTTACGTTTGAAGTAATAAAGCCTTTATTTTGATCGATTGTCTCAGGTGACATATGCCAGAAGCCCTATATCTCTGGGGATGCAGATGGAGATTCCTTTGAGCTGACTGGTTCAGAAGATTACTTGCTCCTGGCCTGCGATGGATTCTTTGATGCCATCAAGCCCTATGAGGTTGTAGACTTGGTCCTGGACCATTTAATGCAGACCAATGGAGAGGGGCTCAAAGCAGCAGAAAGACTGGTGGCTGCTGCCAAGGACAAGGGATCCAGTGACAACATCACTGTTCTAGTGGTGTTCTTGAGGCATCCTCAGGACATCTTGGCAGACTGCCTCAGAGACCTGAAGAGCGTTGGGGCTGATGATGATGCTCAGAGCTCACCCTTTAATTTCCTCGGCTGCGAGGCGGCAGCCACACAGTGACAGAGTCTGTTTAGTCCAGAATGTTCAGATAAATTCACGTAAGGAATTACTTTCCACTGAAGAAGCCTCTAATATAGTAGGCAAAATGTATCAGGAAAAAATAACAAATGGACAAACATGGAACAGAAAGGCAAGGCCCTTTTTACTATGTTCCCATTTGTCTTTTCCTTCCTTCCTTCCATCCTTATTTCCTTCCTTCCCCCTCCCTTCAAAAAACACTGAGCAGACGTGGCGGTTTGTACAGTTATTTCATCTCTGGGAGCAGACACTAAAGTCTGTCCCAGGGCTGCTGGTCATATCCTTCTGCCCTGGAAGTGGTAAGAAACCATACTATGTATAACCTAATGGGTAAGAATACCTGCTTATGAGTTCTGAGTGAAAATTTAAATTAGTGCTTAGAAAGAACACCGTTATGTTGTATTTAATTGTGATGTTACTTTGGAGGTGTGAGGGGAGAAGCTGTTCCCATCATAGAAAACTTCTTCCTCTGTGTGTTCTGTAGGAACAGGCTTGTTGTGTGAGGGACTGGGTGACCAGAGTGCTGTGTAAGGTGCTTTTGGTTTGTACCAAAGATGATATTACGAGAATGGTGCAGCCTCTTTATTCAAACAGAAACATTTAATTTTGTGTGTACAGAGAGCAGAAAATGAAAACTGGATGCTCCTGAAAAAGAGGAGTCAAGCTAACTAGAAATATCCCAGGGAAAATGATAGAAAATAGCTGCTTTCTGCGATGCTCTAGTTTATAAACTGGAAGTTGATATTTAACTGCAGGGGATTATTCTCCCTAAACAAACGTGCTTTATTGGCTTTTTGGCAACCTGGAAAGAAAGGACCCCTCATGTTGTATTTGAGAAAGATCTTTGCAGTATGTGTGCGCAAGCAGGTAAATGTGCTCTTCCTATCACTATTTTGTGTACTATTACAAAGGAGAATTTTAGTTTTATTGTAAGTGGTTTTGTTAATTTTCTGAACTTTACAGTTGGAGGAATGTTTTGCAGTGTTACTTTATTTTGTTGTGGTTTTTATTTAAACTGGAATTTTGAAGTGGCTCTGTCTTTATTATCTGGTGTAAAAAACTGACTACCGTTCAGTGCCTTAAATATTTCACCCAAGGATTGCTGGCTGCCTATCACATGATAAGCCAGCTTTTACTGTTTTTAAAATGTGACTTTTTTATTTCATTAATGCACTTAAATGTTTCAGCTTTGTGAATTATTGTAGTGGTAACTAAGTTTCAAGAAAATATGTCTTTCATTGTTGCCAAATGTTGTGGCTTGCAGTAAAAGCTTCACTTGAATTACTCCCTGCCCAGTGCAAAAAGCTGTAGTGAGTTAATCATAAAGTAACAATCTGAGTCACCATGGCTTTCATTTAAAAACAAGTAACTTCTGACCTTCACAAGAAAATTCAGTAATGCGAACTGGAAACTGTTTAGTTTTTATTAATACTTGGTTAATTTGGCCTTCCTTACTTCCTGAACCTTTGGAGTCTCGATAACTTTCTAAGGAACTGTGAAGCTCAGAGGATGAAAGTGTCCTAATGAGTGTGGAAGGTGTTGCACAACTGTTCCATTCATTCCATGCTAGAGCCTCTGGTTGTGTTTTGTCTTGCCTGGCTTGCAGGACTCAGCAAGATCTGAAGGCTCAATGGTAAATTTGTTATTAATTTCAGTGTCTAAACAAAAAGTGCTTTGCATCTAGCAGCAAGATTGTAAACCTAACTTAGAAGCACATAATTGCAACATGTCAGTCCTGTTGATTAGAATATGTTGAACATTAATGTTGCTTAGGGAGGAAATTTAGGTAGAAGGGATGGCTCAGGGGAGGAACAGAGCAGCACTGGTTGTATCCTCAGTGTCTCTGGATCATTGACTGGTGTGGAACAACGCAGTGACCTGAGTGAGTTGAGGTTTTTGCTGGAATACTACAGATGATCTTATGCTTTGATGTAGGAACTCCTCAGTGAGCTACTCTCTTGTGACACAGCAGCTGAGAGAATGACTGCCTTGTTTTGCTATGCAACAACAGGAGCTTTTCCTCTGAAAAGAATGTAAGCAGTTTTCCATCCTACATTTTGGTGTCCTAAAATATGTGGGATGGCAGTCTGGAGGGTTGGTGTCAGTTTTTGTAGTGAACCTACTTCAGTTAAGAAAGCTCTTTGCAGTAATCCCTTTGGATTTATCATCTCATCTTTGATTTCTAGCCCAGATATTCAATGTCATGCTAAATTCTGATGACCACTAGTGCCTCTTGGTGTCTTGGAAATAGTTCTCAGTATTAATATAGTAAGAATTACACAGAATTGTTTGATTTCATTGCTATCTGAGGTTTATCAGAAGAGGGGGAAGCTATTGTATTCATGAAGGGAGGTGTGAAATGTTGGTAAGTTCATGGTATGGTTTAGCAGTTTCTGAAATTTGCCAGTATTCCTCAAAGGTGGAGGGGACTGAACAAGCCAAATTCTTTGTGGTGATCCTTTTATTTCAACCTCTCCTGGGCAGATTTGCATTGCAGAGGAAACAAAGTCTTGAGTGGATGGATACTTAGAGATTTGTGGGATTATCCTTGGTTGATTCAAATTTGATAATTTTTGTTTTATGGGGAGCTAAGTGAAATGGGCCTTTAGAAAGCTGTCTGTAGCAATCAAAAAATCCAATTCTCAAGCTATGCCCTAGGGAAGAAATTCTGCATTCTGTGAAGCTATTCCCTTATATAGGTGTGTTCATTCTGAATGACTTAATGCCTCGTTTCTTTGAGATGTCTTTGGGAACTCATACAGATTGCAGTGTGGATTAAAAGTATTTAATTTTTGGAGACTTCTTACTAGCTTTAAAAGGTCTGGTCAGGTCTGCAGGTGTTGTAATGGGTCAAAAGTGCTGTCGGTGGAATAAATAAGTCTTTAAGTGTAATTTACAAGAAAATCCCAAATACAGTTTTTGGGGGAAATAGATTTTGGTGATGTCTTATCTATTCTTGACAGCCTGATCAAAACCTATGGAAACTTGTTAGGGTTTTTTTTTTGTTTTGTTTTAAACAAAAAACATTTCAAATTGGTGTTGAAAGTATGACATGGGATGCAAGTATGGATTTTGGAGGTGCACTTCTAAAATGATCATCAGGATGGTCTTATCCTTGGGATGGCAACCATACAAGAAATCAATTTTGGTTTCACTTTTCATTTTGGTATCACTTGTAGAAGCCACAATCTCTAATGCACAATACTGTTACAAGGAAAACCACTAGAATGGGTGGTGAGGAGAGAGGGGAAGGAGCTCTAGCAGAAGGTATGAAATTGAACTAAATAGTTCAAGATATGGAATGATCCTATGTGTTGAATTTACAGTACTAATCTGCTACGTTAGCTTTTCTTGTCTTTTCTCTTGAAGCTTCTTGGATTTTTGGTGTTGACTGTTCTGTTTTCCTTTCCTCCTTTAGTTAAAAATAATATCTAATTTTGATGAGAGAATGCTCTGGCCTCTCTGGGCCTTCCCGGTGTCATCTACAATATATTAATACTTGTCCACCAGTGTCAAATCAACTAATGGCAAATTGACTAATTTGTGTGTTTTCATGTTGTCTTTCTGATGGGCCTTCAACAAAAGCAGTTCTTGAGTTTAGCCAAAACCTTTGAGGCTGCAGAATTTAGCTGAAGGATTCAAGACCAATGTTCAATGAAAAATGAAAGTATTTTCGTGTCTTACTAAGCTCAAAATGAACATCTGCTGCTGCATTCTAGCACTCAGCATAAGAAAAATCGCTCTTCAAAGGAGCCTGCGTTTGTAAAGCCCAGCACACTTAAATTCTTATGTTGCTTGATTGAAAACCGACTTTGTCATTTTATTTAGTGGGTATCCAATATCTCTTTAGCTTATGGGTAATTCATACTTCTACCTTCCCTTCCTTGCCTTGTCTTCTACAAAGACACATACCTAAGGCAGTGAAATATTCTGGCTCTGACACAGACCAGATTAAAATTTTACAAATTACATTTGTTGGAGGGGTTCATTTTGGCTTTTTTTTTTTCTCCTGAGAATATATATGATAGAAATGCAGGCAAATTTTTAGAACAGAGGGAGATTAAGTAAAATCCACCCTCTGAGTGATGGAGGAGTGAAAGAAAGAGACAGGAATGCATTTAAGTATTATTAATGCCTATTTTAAAAAGGAAGTGGGCTGGAAAATGGAGCTGTCAGTTTTTTAAAGCAAAATACCAGTGCTTGAAAGAATTAGAAACACACCCATTAAAAAGGCAGAACTCAGCTGAGGCCACTCTGTCTTCAAACAGCCAAGGGAGGAATCACGCTGAATGTGTCCAAGGGGACTTACTGTGACCCTTCAGCACTGCCTTGGAAGCAAATGCTACTAAATGGATTTTTCCAAGCATCCTCCTGTGTAAAGTGATGCTGAGAGGGAGCATCCAGGGTCTGCAGTTCCTGGTCACTGTGCAAGTGCTGCTGTGAGGGAACGCCCTGGGGTGTGTCCATGAGCTTTGGAGGATGAGTAATTGGGCACGAAGTGGTTACAGAAGAGTTGGCAGTTGAGTAGTGTTAATCACAGTGATGACTTTAATAGCATTTAATAGACACTTATTTGAATTCATAGTCAGATGCAATACTGCTCTTTTAAAAATCACTTCCAATGCCATTAACTTTCTGTTGTGAAGAGCCACTAAAATTTCCATTTTTCAGTTGAATGTTGGGAAAAGTGCTTCTCTTGCTTTCTCAGTTCTGGAGATGAGTTGGCTGTCTGCACTGGAAAACCCATTTTCAGTTGGTAGCTTAAAGCAGCTGTTTGGGGTTGAAGATTCCCTCCCAGGCAATGCCTTAAAAACTAACAAAAAGGTGTTTCTGAAAGAGGTGGCTGAGGAACACAGATATTTTTAAATGGTGGTGCACAGAAGGTAACCAGCAAGTACCCTCAATCTATATAGGACATAATCAGTAAAGTCTAAATTAATATTCCAACTTCATTCTTTGTGTAAGTTTGTCTCTGTTGGGTAAATTACTCATATTCTTGTGGATGCAGGTACTGAATGCACAGTACCAGCCAGGGTCTATTTCTAGTCTTATAGTACTGAAGTATCAAGCAAATGCTTTAGGGAGAAGGTAGGGGGATGTTAGCCACAACAG